AAAAAAAAGATATTTTAAAAATAGCAGCAAGGTAAGAGAAAATATATGTAATGGATTGTAACACAAGAAGTGTCATACATTGACTTTAACTCATCACATGAGCAAGGTAAGAGAAAATATATGTAATGGATTGTAACACAAGAAGTGTCATACATTGACTTTAACTCATCACATGAGCAAGGTAAGAGAAAATATATGTAATGGATTGTAACACAAGAAGTGTCATACATTGACTTTAACTCATCACATGACACTTTTTTGCATTACACTCCAGATGAATTAAAGCCAGCTTTCCAGTAGTTTACTTACAAACCAAGATTTTTTTTTTCAGAACTACAGAAGAGCTTTAAAATCTAAGCACACTCACCTGTATGTTCCAACAGAAAGTCTTTTCATGGAAGGTTCCACACAATTGTATACAGATATGATGGAAGCAAGGACAAACAAACTGATAATGAAGTAGACTACAGAGAAAATTAAAAAAGATTATTGTAGATGTCCAATACATTAAACAAGTACACGTGAGAGAAAAGCTTTAGTTACTTATTCATTTTTTATAGCCCTAAATATTTGTTAAAGATCACAAACACTCAAAACAAATCAAATTATTGAAAGGAACATTAAATTCAAGCCAATTACTGAAATACTTAACCACCATTTAAAGTCCAACTTCTCATACTTTTTACACACACACACACACACTGTACTCTTAATTTACCCTTGTTGTACGAAAAGTAATTAATAGTAACGTCCTTTGTTAGTAATTTTACTGATACTGAAAATTACAGTTTCTGTTTTCTTTGATGGACAACTTGGTGGAGGAGCTACAAAGAATCCTATGGTCTACAATATTTCACAAAAAAAAAGACTAAAATTATGGGTACGTTACTACAGCACTTACTCATTCAAGTCTGAACTCGATGGTTACTACCTAACAACAAGTACACTTCACCCAGAAGGCTTACCATATATCTTTACACAGTATTGTTATTCCTTTTCAAAAATATAAAGCTAATATAAAAACCCTAAATACCAGTTTAGGATGTTGAATCTACCGCCTTCATATAGTAACACTAATGAGAAACTTTTTTCAAGTATTATTTTAATATAACCAAATTAAGTTAATTTCTTACAGTTAAACATTACCAACTTTCCTTGTAATTCATTTCTTTTCGAAACACATTTATTACAAGATGTATAATTCTGTTCAAAACACAATTGATGAGAAATTTCCAAAATAATTTGTTTTACGAGAAGTCGATACTCAAATGTACATGTAAATAATAACAAAAATAGTGAAACACTACATTGAACAAGTAGTTAAGTATATTTATATATATATATATATATATATATATATACACACATATACATATGTATGAAAACTTCGCTAGTCTTAATATCTGTCACTAACTGTACAAGTAATTTTACATGACATACTACCTTAACAATAAAAAAATTTACATTAATGTATTAAATGCACTGCTCTTTAAAAAATACAAAATCTTAAATCTAAGTTGGTCAGATTAAAAACTGTGGTGTTAGGAATCAAAAACTTTAATTAAGTTGTAAAAATAATCTTTGTATGATATAAATACAAAACATTTCATCACTTTGAGGAAAGTAAGTTACCTAGATAATCGTAGAAAAAATACAATAGCAGCAACATTGCACCCATACACAGGACAAACACGGCAACGAGAACTGGTGAAATATTCATGGAACTCTCTTCAGACTCGGGTGCTGTTTCAGGCTTCCCATGGTGCTCTCTTTCTGGACCAGGCAATTTGGTTATCTCCTTCAAGTGACTGCTTGGCAATGCAGGTAATTAAACTTATATTAAACAGTAAATCACGGTTGTTAGAAATACAGAACTAAATATGATGAATGACATTTATATAAGTATTTTTGCTATTTAAGTAAACATTTTAATGAAGTTGTCTAACAAAATATCAAGTATTGTCAACTAAGTATTTGTTTTGAAAATTTAAAATATACAAGTTTCTAAACATATCTCAGCAACTCAAAAAAAACTTTGGTCTATACTGATCAAAATATAAACTAAAAAAACAAAAACAGAAATGATGATAATTTTTTTGATGCTGATATCATAAGCACTTACAGTGACTGTCGAACAAGTCCTGACCAAAACGATCCCACCGCAACAGTAAAGACTGCCACAGCCCAGATGAGAAAGAGACTAAAATCAATGTTGAAGGAATCAGGAGCATAAAGTAAAACCTTGACATCATCACTGAAGTTCTGAAGATAAACAAGATAAGCTCTCATTAGCACATCACACAATCCAGAGACATTTAATATAAAAAAAAATATACGTTACGAGAGTCTTCAACATTGATTAAAATATATAATAAGAAATTCTAAGTATAAAAATAAAATTAATGATTTTACTTTAATGTCTATGCTTTGACTCCAGAAGCTTAACTCTGCCACTTCCAATGTTTCTCCAGACTCAAATGTAAAATAAAAACAGAATTATATTTTTTTTACGTTTTAATAAGATTTTGTTTTTGCTTTTTAGCATTGCTAATCCAGAAATATTTACTCCAATTTTCAAATTTTTCTTTCTTCCCGAAACATAAAATCTCGTTTTCGTATCATTAAGTTATTCCGGCTATTTCTAAAAACTAAATATGGTATTTCCTAAAAGAAAAATATTTCCTTCCATTTTGTTTTTCTCTCACTTCAGTAGCTAACTTGACTTCAATAACAGATGTTAACTTTCTATTATCTGTCAGCCCCAGCTAACCCCAATTTATATCTACAGTAAAATAAAATTCAGAGCAATTATCAAAACAAAAAAAGAAGGGGGGGACATGAAAAATAAAAATTGCTTGATAAAATTAACTACAAGTATTGTAGATTATCAGTTTATTTTAGCTGTGTATTCAGCTTATTATTTCAAAGTTTAACTATTTAAACCCATAATTTCTTGTGTGTTCTGCCACAATAATTTTTTCATGATTTCCTAATAATTATCATCATACCTTACAAAGTTTAAATTTTCTTAATTTTGTGGATAACAACATGGTTTGGATTATTTTTCAGCCAAAGAGACATAAAAGTTATTGGACGCTGTCACTGTCCGATGGGTAAATCGGGATTTTCAGCATTTGGATTTTAAGTATTTTGGATCAACGTATTATATCATTCTTTGTCATGGTTAGCAGTTTAAATAAAAATCTATTTATAAATTTGTTTTTTTTATATATATAACTAAATACCAGTTACTAACTAGTTTTCAGCACACATTTCAGCAACCAATATGCTTCTGTCTACAGAGAAGTTCTGAGAAGATCAATCTTTGATGGTTATGGTAAGGATTTGATCCTGGCTCATTTTGATGCAGAGTTGGTGTGAATGTGGACTCCAATACATTGGAGAAAGAATAAAGATTGACACAAGTTAAAATTCAGGAACTTAACAGTCATACATGACTCTGCAACCCTGATCTCTCTACACAATATCTCATCATGCCAGAGAAGAAGACTATATACTGAAATGGACTAATACTAAAATTATGAGATTCAAACCACGCATGAGAAAAAGAAAAGAAGCGCTCTACATCCACCTAACTGATAACACACTCAGTCAACCTAGCACAGAAGTCAGTAAAACCTGCATAACCCTCTTGAAAAAGTTAGTTGATTCAAGTCCTAATAGGGAAGTCCCCAGGTGAGTGGAAAATACACCAGCCTCTCTATCTAGAAGACCAAGGATTCATTTCTGGCCACTACCTCCTTCTCACACATTCCTTGAAGATGGCAGTAGATTAGCAGCCAAAATGTAGGATAAAAACTAATTAGTACTTTATATTTAGTACTAAAAAGTAGTTAAATAATAATTAAACTTGGGTGATTGTACAGGCTATTAACCATGACAGTGATTAATCCCCAATCACTGTAACCTTACTGTAAGTACATGTCGTAATGTGTTCCGCAGGTTATAATTAGCGGGCTGGATATTAAAGATGCATGAAGTGTAGAAAAACCACTAAAAAATAATATTAATTATTTGTACGGATATTTAAAATATGAATTACCTACATTAATTAATTAGATACCATACTTAAACATTTAAATGGAAAACATAAAAAAATCGATAAATAAACAAAAATAAATATGTAATAAGGCTAAGAAATGTAAACTGTGTCCAAACACCCACCAAAGTCAAACATATTTGCCAAACCTACCAAGTCAAGTTAATAATATTATTTGTGTTTTGAAAAGAGGTTGTTTAATAAAGTCCTTCATCTAGCTCTTTTGAATTATCATGAATACAAATATGAAAGAGTTGGATAATGATGATAAAATTATAAAAGTAATTCTTTACTTTATATTACAATTATTACCTCCCAAAAGATATTGTATTAAGGAAAAGATCTAAATTCTCTAAACAAAAGGTTAGTAAAGTCTTATTCCTAACTCAATCTATCACAGTGACTCAGTTAAAGTTCACAGTAACATAGCTAGATTAAAAAAAAGGTTGATAACATTAGAACTGGAAGTATTTTGCCCATACACATCAACAAAGATGTTTCCTACATCATATAAAAGACCTTATGGTAGTTTCAGTTCAGTGTTTCCTCAGTTTAGATAAGAAAGTGACATCTTTTGTACACCAGGTGAATGATATCCCAACTTAGATAATGGGTTAATCTGCTAGCAATCACTACTAAGGCATTTTTTTAACAACTCAAATTACCACAAATAAGGACTGCTCTCAGGCCTTAACTCAGGGTCACGGAACAGCCACAATAACTGGGTGGTAGTTTTTCTGTGTAACTTTGTCAAATTGGGATCAAACCCAAAACTACTTTACATCAAGCAAGTGCTTTAAAAACTGAGCTAAATGGTTAACCACTAGCAATAGAAATTGCTAGTGAATTCTTCCTTCTGACCCAATCTATCACATTCTTCCCATAATATTGCCTTTATACCTTGAGTACAAGCGGTAAATGATACACAATGAAAAACGTTTATCTTCACATTCAATATTTATTTATTTGACAAGTTTTAATCTTTATTTCACATTCATCAATTATCAAGTCAGCTAAAATGGACGTTGACTGCAGACAGCGTGTCTCAAGACATGTGACAAGAGAATAATGTTTTATTATAACGTTTCATAACAATTAAAAACAAGACGGAATCTTCAATAGCCACGACACTTGAAATTCTTTTAGTAGGATTAGAATAAATTGATTTACGAGACCCTGGGTATGGTCAAATACATCAATCAAAAGGGTTTGACCTCCCAAGTACAAAACTGTAATTAGATCTCAACTTGGTCAAGAGATGAGAAAGTTGTGAGCTAAAAGTTTGTACATGAAAAAAAACAACAAAAAACAGTCATTCTATGAGCCACTATTCCATGGCTAAAAATGTAATATACTGTCATGAAATATATCAAGAAAAAATTAGTGTTAATAAAGTCAATGTACAGTCTTGTGATTATAATACTCCTGTTTTATAACATCTTGATTAAATATCTGTCAACCAATTTCGGTATCTACCTGTAATTATTACCAGGAAAACCCATAATTTTCTTAAACTACTCATTATTTGATATATAATTGCAAACGTTTATAATATTTATAGATTTAGTTAGTAATTCTAACTTTCAATATAGTGTGTATATCTTCACAAAATTTGGCAGTCTTTCAGTTAACATTATGTCTTTCACATATAAAAAAATCATTTTTTGTGAAGTATTTTTAATAAATAAAAATAAAAATTTATCCAAGAATATATCGAGTTTTTGTTTTGAATAGTCTATGTGCAAAGTAATTTTCATGTTAAGATTAAAAATACTTTTCTTCATCTCAAAAATCTCAAATTTCCTTTGTGTAATCCCTAAAACCTCCTAAAGACATTTCAAACGTTTTTTTTTTTCAGTAAAACTTTATATTTTATCTGTTATTTTCTCTACCCTATCTCAAAACGGAATCAGTCAATTTGAACCGACCTCATAACCACCATAAAAAAATCTAAGTAAATCTAAATTACCTTTTTTCTTTCTAGAATGACTTCAAGTTGTAACATTAAACTACAATCGTTTATTCTAAGCAGCTTTAAGCTCGTAACAGTATACATCTATTTATATTTAAATTTCACTGCTTTATTGCCCTTTGAACCATGTCTAACTACTATTCGCACCATTCTAAGTTGTAAATCGCTCAGGGAACATGCAGCTCATGTTATGCTATCAAATTACATTACCTACGTCCTGCCAGCGTGCTTCTTGAAACATTTTTATTATAATGTTATTATTATTTACTTTACCTAATCTAATCATAACTAACCTAAAAAGATCCCTATTTTTACATTTTAATTACTTTTATAATTATAAATGAAGAATAAAGATGAAAACCAAGAAATAAAGTACTTACGCAATCTTCTTTTCTTCTTGCTGTCAACTGTCGATGAAACTTAACCCTACTTTTTTTTTTTTTTATACTAATGGT